CCCCCGCGCGCGCGCGCGCTCCCGGTGAGCGCCGAGCGCGCTCCCGCGCCCAGAATCCCGCGCTCCCGGGAATCCCGGTGCTGCCGGTGCCCCCGCGTGCCCAGGTCCTGCAGCGCGCGGAATATAAAGTGGGGAAAGAACGAGGAAGAGGGGGAAGTCCGCAGTGACGGTGTTTGTTGTCCCAAGTAACTGCAGCGCGTGATGGGGCCCTGCTCCCCCGGAATAGCTGAACGCCTGCTTGTGGTGGCGTAACTCCTTGTTTTGCTTTGCTTGTGTGAAAAATGTGTATTTTATGATCGGCTTTCATTGTCCTAATCGCAAATGTTCAAATTTTATTATTTTAATTATATTACTATTTTTATAACCATTTTATTACTATTAAACTTTTAAAATTTCAAAACCAAGTGATTGGCGTTTTTCACACTTGTGTGTTTGGTCTTTGCTTTCCCTATTAACCTCTATTAATCTCAACCCATGAGGTTTCCAGCTTTTGGTTCTCTTTCTGACAGGGGAGCGGGCAGGCGGATGGGTTGGGCTTGGTTCCTGTCCTTGTTTGTCACCCAGCGTGGGGCACTGAGGGTTGAGGTAACAACAGAGTGGGTTGGAATCAAATTTGATCTCAGCATTTGCTGTATTGGGTCCAGAACCACTGGTCACTGTGGTGCTTGGTCTGTTCCTGTGGGTATGGTGCCCACCCTGGCTCTGTTCCTGCATTCCTGTATGTGCTCCCCGGGGTCACTTTTTATGGAGCAGGGACAAGGATCGGCATTTCTCTGTTGCTGTTACTGTTCATTTTCTTGGAGCCAGTTCTAAACTCAGCCTGAGATCTTTACCTTTTGTGCCTCCTCTCCATCCTGCCGCTGTGAGAAGGGGGAAAGAGAACAGGGGAGCAAGAGAATGGGCATGGTTTGAAGGGTCTCAGTGGGGGCACTGAACAGGGGAGTACCATTCCTAAACCACAACAGATCCCAGTGCCCCAACCCTCCACACCCCCCATGCTCCCAATACTGGGACCCCAGTATCAGCACCCCAGCCCCAGTATCAGCACCCCAGCCCCCTCGTGCAGCCCAGGAGCACCTCCCAGCCCCAGCCTGGCCCCGTCTCCAGCCAGCCCCACTGCGCTGGTAACCGGAGCTCCGATAGCAGCCGCAGCTGCGGTGACACCATCAATAATTGAGTGGCAGCAGGGCTCCACACAGGACTGCCTGCCTCTGCCTGCCTGGAGCGTGGGGACAGGTACGTGCCACCCCCATTGCCCTATCCTGTCGCTGTGGCTGGGCACCCCAACAGCTCAGGCTGTGGGGAGCAGGGTGTGAGGTACAGAATATGGGGGATGGGAGCAGCAAAGCCAGATCAAGGGGGGGTGCAAGGGATTGTGCTGAACAAGGCCCCTCACAGCAGCACAATCCCCTGGGATGCCAGCCTTGCCAACCCCAATATCTGGACCCTGGCAGATGGGTCCCCAGCCCTGGCACAGGATCTCCACAGCATCCTGGGGTGCCCCAGCCCTGCAGGCCCAGCAGCACTGGAGTCCAGGGAGAGGCACTTCCAGGGGGTGCACAGCACATCCAGCTCGTGGCATGAATGGGAGCTGTGAGGCTGGCACCCTGGGAGGACACCCTACCACAGCATGCCCTGTGAGGGGACAGATTTGCCTCGTTACGGTTTAAGGGCTCACAGTGCTTCCATGATCTCTGCACAGGGAGATTTTCAAAGCCTGGGCCCAAGGTTACGCTACTGATTGATAGCGGACACAAAGGGTGCAGAACTCCAAGATAAGTACGAAACTAACAAAGTCAACTCAGCACTGTGCACGAAGCACGGCCTCATTCCCTTGTGATGGTGTCTCCGGCGATTGCCCTGGCCTTCCTCCCGTTCATCGTCACCCTGCTGATCCGGTACCGGCACTACCTGATGCTGCTGTACCGGGCGGCGCTGGTGCCCTGGCTGCGGGACCGGCTCACCGGCACCTCGCGGGAGCAGCGCGCCTTCCAGTACCTGCTGGCCCATGCCATCCCGGGGGACCCCCAGCACATCCTCCAGACCTTCGATCAGTGGTGCTACCACTGTGAGCACCTCAGCTGTGTGGGGCCCGACAAAGGTGAGTGCCACCCTTGCTTGTCCACACCACACAGGGCACGGCCGTGGCATCACTGACATGGCCGTGGCACTGCCAGCATGGCCACAGCACCACTGGCATAGCCATGGCACCACTGACATGGCTGTGATAGTGTTGGCATGATCTCAGCACCACTAGCATGGCAGTGGCACTGTTGATATAGCCATAGTATTGTTGGCATGACTGTGGCACCAGTGACATGGCCCTTGCACTGCCAGCACAGCCTGGCACTGTCGGTACGGCTATGGCATCATTGACCTGGCTGTGGCATTTTTGGCATGGCTCTCCTCCACTCCTCTGGGCACTGCCTGGCACCTTTGCCCTGCCAGGCCCGGGGTGGCACAGAGGGTGGGTGCTGAGGCACATGCCGTGTCAGGGCGGATCGTGGAGCGGGTGCTGTTGGAGCGGGCACCGCTGCGGGTGCTGGAGCTGGGCACGTACTGCGGCTACGGCACCGTGCTGCTGGCACAGGCGCTGCCCCCAGGCGCCCGCCTCTACACCATCGAGGGCGACCCCCGGCACGCCGCCGTGGCCGAGAAGGTCATCCGCCTGGCCGGCTTCAGCGAGCAGATGGTGAGCAGCCGGGCACAGGGAAACCAGGGAGGAGGTGGGTGGGGGTCCTTTGCTGGGTCCTTGCTGGGACTGTGGCACCTGCTGGGCAGTGCACATGGGACGAGGAAGATGCTGTGCCACGTGGACCCCTCAGCACGCTGTGCAGCAGGGAGGTGGGTGGGCACCCTCCACCCCGCCCCAGCGACTGAGGGTGATGCAGCGCAGGTGGAGCTGATCGTGGGCCCCTCGGAGGAGGTGATACCCCGCCTGCGCGAGAAGCACGGCCTGGTGAACGCCAACCTGGTCTTCATGGATCACTGGAAACGCAGCTACCTGCGGGATCTACGGCTGCTGGAGAGCCACCAGCTGCTGGCTGAGGGGGCCACCATCCTGGCTGATAACGTCCTCTTCCCCGGGGCACCCCACTTCCTGCAGTACGCCAAGACCTGTGGCAAATACCACTGCAAGGTGCACCGCGCCAGCCTGGAGTACTTCCGCGCCATTCCCGACGGAATCGCCGAGCTCCGCTACACCGGTACCCACTGAGCAGGCAGTGCTCCTGCCTCGTGCTGGCCCCGTGGAGTGCCAGGTGCCCACCCCCTGCCGTGGCTTCAACATGGGCTCTGGAGGACACGCAGTGACTGCTGTGGTCTAGCAGGCAGTGCTCCTGCCTCGTGCTGGCCCCGTGGAGTGCCAGGTGCCCACCCCCTGCCATGGCTTCAACACGGGCTCTGGAGGACACGCAGTGGCTGCTGTGGTCTGTGGTGGGGCGCAGTGGGTATCCAGGGGCTCATTCCCGAGTGCTCCTGCCTGCACGGCACAGGGAGCTCTGCCAGGCACACCCGTGGGTGGTGGGGAGCAGCCCTGCACTACCTGGGTGGCACCCTCTGCCTGCCCTGGTGGCCTCAGACACCAGATTTGGGGTTGTTTTCTTGAAAACTGAGTTTATTAGAAAAGATGTGTCAGTTCCAATACGCCAGGTGGCTCCTGGTCTCCCCTCTGGCTCCTCTGGGAGGCTTCCCTCTGAACCTCCTGCCCCATGCAGCACCTGCGGCAGGAGGAGCTGCACTGAACTGTGCCCCAGAGCCGTGGGGGGCAAAGGCTCTCCCCCAGCCCCTGGCTTGGTGTGGCTGTGGCAGAATCAGATCATCCACTGGTCCTGATCCTGCTCTGTCCCCTCCATGTCCACCTGGGAAAGAAAGAGGTCTGAGATCTCCCCCAGAGCAAGAATTTAACAGAGGGCGTGAAGGCGAGAAGACAGCCCCCAGAGCTCATGTTCAGGGTCCCACACACTCCACATCCCCTGCTTTGGGGTCTCTCTATTTACCTCATTGATCTCCCCATCATCGGGAGACTCGTTATAATCATTCATCTCATCCATATCCTGCATGTCCTCGTCATCTTCTGAGTCCTCTTCGCTGTCTTCGTCATCTTCATCATCCTCCTCCTCCTCCTCATCATAGTGCTGTGGACACAACAGCTGCAGCCACCCCGTCTGCCCCCCAAGCCCTGTGGCAACCCCCAGCTCCCTGCCCACACACCCACCTCGGACGCTGGCTTTCCTATGGGCACCAGGTTGTTGTCCTTCTCAGCAATGCTCTGCAGCTGGGGAAGGGAGAGAGGCGGGTGAGCACTCCAACAGCTCCATGACACCCCAGCAAGCAGGCCCTCCTGGCCCTGGTGTCCCTGGCTGACCACGCTGATTCCCAGCCCCAGTCCTGCCGCCTCCCCCGCATCCCTGCAGGGAAGGGCAGCTGTAACAGCCTGGCACCAACAGGGTGATCCCAGTGACCCTCTGGTGCTGACAGGGTTCGAGGTGCCCCCGTGGGTGGCAGCAGAAGCCCAAACACAGAGCTTATGTATTTCTTTATCAAAAAATAACCCAATCTGGGACATCTGATCAGCCAAACGCAACCACAGCAGATGATTAAAGCTCAATTAAAATACGTCAGCACCTCCCACCCAGAGGGACTTGGAACCTCTTCTACGTGCTGGGGTTTTAATTGACTTAAACTTTATTACTTAATTACAAAAACTTAATTACTGACTTTTTTTTTAAACTTTAATCAAATAGATGTTCTTCCCCCCGATACTCAGGGGCACCGCAGCACCGAACCACGCTCACAGCACAAACACTTGTCAGTTACCGGGATCAGAAACCGCTCCTCGGGAGGTTAGTTAATTAATTAATTGGGAGCTAGTGCAGGAGCCTGGGTTCAGCAGCATCTTGGTAATTAACCCCCACAGAGTAAACGGGGAGCAGCCCGCACCGAGCCGCTGTGACACGGGAGCAGCGGTGCCCGAGCCGCCAACAGCGGCACAAGTCGCTGACACACGGGCACAGGCGGTGAGCACCGGGGGAGCGGCCCCGGGCACGGCCCCGGGCCCGCCGGAGGAGCCGAGCCCGCCCCCGGCCTCACCACACCCGGCCCCGCGGCCTCGCGCCTCCGCCCGCGCCGGCGCCCACCCAGGCCTGGTGCTGCTGCTCCTGCTGCTGCAGCTCGGTCTCGTCAACGCACGGCCGGTCGAGGTTGAACCAGAGGGACTCGGTGAGGCGGGGCAGGAGCGAGGGGAACAGCGTGGACATGGCGGGAGCGGCGCCAGCGCCCGGCCGGAAAGGGAACCCAACCCGGAACCAGTTAGGGCGCACGGAGCATGCGCGGAGGGAGCGCGGTGATGCCTGGCGGGGCCAGCCCCGCAAGGGGGATAAATAATGGGGCGTGGCCTAAGGCGCCTCTGGGGGCGGGGCGCCGTGTGATTGACAGGCGGTGGGCTGGGCCCCCCCGCGCGTCCCAGTGTGGCGGCCCGCGGGATATCTGTGCCCCCCTTGGGGTATTTGTGACTGATGGTGGGTGTGTGAGCCCCACAGGCACCGGTGACCCCAGGGAGGGGGTATCTGTGATGCTGATGGGGTACCTGCTCCTTTGGGGGCATCTGGCATCTGTGAGGGGGTAACTTCCCCCCCCTCAGGGCATCTGCAATACCTGAGGGGTTCTTGCCTCCACCCCGTGGCCATCTGTGACCCCACAGCGGGTACCTGTCCCTGCCAGCAGCATCTCTTACCCACTGTGGTGCTCCCCCCAGTCACCCACAGGGACCCTGTGGTGTTGGGGGGCCGGGTACTGCCCCTCGTGCTGGTGTCAGCGAGTCAGGCCACCTCCCACAGGAGGGAAAGGAAAACAGCCCTAAGTGGATTTTGGCTGGCGCTGGCCCCAGCCCGGCGCCGGGAAGATGAATCCCAGCTGCACGTGGGGCTGCTGAGGGGCCGGGATGGGCACGGGTGTCAGTCCAGGACACAGTGGGGTGCCCGGGCGGGGTGCACTGTCCCCTCCGCGCCCTCAGTGCTGCCCAATCCGCTGCATTCCCGCGTCCCGTGATCAGCGGCCACGGGTTCTGCTGCACCACGACCTTTGAGATGAGCTGTGCTCGTCCCACGGCACCTGGAGCCCAGCTGCCCCCCAGGTAAGAGCCCCGACCCCCGGCACCCCCGGGTAAGACCCCTGAGCCCGTTGTCGGTGGTCGTGGCAGTGACCGTGTGCTGCCGCGCTCCCACACGCACGGTGGGGGACTTTGTCCCTGCTGTCACTGCGTCTCTCAGAGCTGCCATCCTGACCTGCTGTCGCCCCGGCAGAGCGATGGCAGCGGTGTTGGCTCTGCTGGTGGCCTGGCCAGCTGCTGCCGCAGCAGTGAGGGTGACACAGGACTCGCTGCTCAACGTCTGCATGGATGCCAAGCACCACAAAACAGAGCCTGGCCCTGAGGGGCAGCTCTACGGGCAGGTACGGTCCTCATCCACTGCACCAGCACCCAGGGGGTCACCAGGATGGAGGCTGGGGGGCTCTGTGCCCCAACATGAGTTCCATCAGCCAGTGTCACCCACCCACGGGCACTGGTGCTTTCCCTGGACCTGCAGCAGGTCCCATCCGAGGCCTGGTGGGTCCTGATGGGTCCCAGCTGAGCCCCGGCTGCCCCGGTGCAGTGTGTCCTCTGGAAGGACAATGCCTGCTGCACTGCCAACACCAGTCTGGAAGCTCACCGGGACCAGTCCTACCTGTACAACTTCAACTGGGACCACTGTGGGGCCATGCCAGAGAAGTGCAAGCGCCACTTCATCCAGGACACGTGTCTCTATGAGTGTTCCCCTAACCTGGGGCCATGGATCGACCAGGTAGGTGCAGACCCCGCCCTCACCAACCCACCAGGATGCCCGGGGTGAACTGGGGGGAACTGGGGGCCCTGCAGGCAGACACCAGCTGGCGGAAGGAGCGGATCCGGGATGTGCCACTGTGCCAGGAGGACTGTGAGCAGTGGTGGGAAGATTGCCAGGATGCTGTCACCTGCAAGGTCAACTGGCACAAGGGCTGGAACTGGACTACAGGTGAGTGCGGGTTGCAGGCCTCCCACCATCATGCCTCGACCCTCCTGTGGGTCTCCAGTCACCCTCCATCTTGCTGCAGGGGAGGTTGTGTCCACCCTCCCTGGTGGCTGTGAGTGGGTCTGGGGGTGTGAGGGTCCCCATGGGGTAATGTGGTGTGAGACCCTGTGCCGCCTTGAGGTCAACTCTAGCAATACCAGTGTGACCCATCTGCGCCCCAGGCACAGGGGAACAACACCCATTTCCCAAAGCCCTTCACCCACTTCACCCCCTGCCCACCCCCAGGCACCAACCAGTGTCCCAAGGGTGCCATGTGCCAGAAGTTCAGGTTCGTGTTCCCCACGGCGGCTGCGCTCTGCGAGCAGGTCTGGTCCGGCTCCTACCGCTACACATCCCACCACCGTGGCAGCGGTCACTGCATCCAGATGTGGTTCGATCCCACGCAGGGGAACCCCAATGTTGCTGTCGCCCAGTATTACGCCCGTGGCGATGCTCCCCCAAACTCCCCGCTCTCTGTCCTGCTGTCCCTGCTGCCCCTCACCCTCCTGGCCCTGCTCTGAGCAGGAGGGGCTGCAGGCAGGAGCCGGCAGTAGATGGTCGGGGGTCCACAGGCTGCCTTGTGCCTCCTCATGGGACGTCCCCAAGCTGTGTCCCCCTTCGAGGCGTGTGGCTCATGAATAAATGCTCCTGCCCTGCTTGGTCTTGGGGTGTTGTGTGATGGTTGGGGGGGCAGTAGGATGGTTGAGGAACTGCTTGTCCCATCCTGCTTCTGGTGGGGAGATGAAGCAGACATCACTCCTATTCATTTGTACCGATCAGCCTGGCTACTGAGCACTGCCTGCCCCAAACCACTGTACTGGGCAAGGCACAAGGCACAGGGCTGCCTGACACTGGGGCCCAGGAGGATGGGATCGCTGAATGTGTCCTAGCACCTGACACGGCTCCAGGGCCCCGGGCGTCACTGACACCCTGGGGAGCACAGGATGAGACTGGGAAAATTATGGAGGAAAAGGGGAGGATATCCCGGGGACCCTGAGTGGGAGCATGGCTGTCAAGGGAGTTCTGCTCGGTACACCTCCCTTCGGTATGCCCCCGGGTGCCCCCCTGGTGCCCCTATCTGTCCAAGAGCTTTCTCCCTCCCAGGTGCTCCCCGCCCCGGTGCTCTTCATCCTCCCCGTGCTCCCCACTGCTGCTGCCCGCTACCCGCTGCTCTCCGCCCCTCGGTGCCGCTGCCCCTCCACCAGACCCCCGATGCCCCCCTGAACATCCTACTCATGGCCCTGCTCTGTCCCGGTGCCTCTCAGGTGCGCCCCCCAGGACCCCGTTACCTCACTGCTGCTCCCCCAGGATCCCCGCGGGTCCCCTCCGGTGCCCTCTCGACTCCCGCGGGTCCCCTTCCGCCATCGCCTCTCACGGCGGCCACCCCCGGACCCCTCCCCGCGCGCTCCCGGGTGCCCCCCTGGGGCCTACGGTGTCCCCAAGCCCCGAAGCCCCCGCCCGTCCCCGGGATGTCCCCGTCCCCACCTTTCCCCGCCCCGGTGGGGGGGCGCGGGGGGCGCGGGGGCGGCGGCCCCGGTGCCGGTGCCCCCCTGGTACCACCGGGACCTGAGCCGGGCGGCGGCCGAGGAGCAGCTGGCGCGGGCCGGGCGGGACGGCAGCTTCCTGGTGCGGGACAGCGAGAGCGTGGCGGGGGCCTACGCGCTCTGCCTGCTGTGAGTGGGGTACGGGCGGGGGGGACAGCCCCGCGGAACCGGCGGGCCCCGGGGGGCGATCCGGAGCGGCCATCGGGGCTGACTGGAGCGGGGGCACCGGAGGGGACCGGCGCGGGGCCGGGGGAGCTGCGGAGGCTCGGGCAGGGTGTCGGGGCAGGACCGGCGGCGACCATGGGAGAGCTGCAGGGGGAGCTTGAGGGGGCCACCGGCGAGGCACGGCCGGAGCCGTGGGGGGATCCCGGGAGGAACGGGATCGGGGATTCGGGCGTAGGAGTGGAGCGTTCGGGGCGGCACCGGAGGGGCCGCGGGGATGGTCCGAGGAGAGCAGGGAGGGCAGAGGGGAGGATTTGGGGGAGCGCCTGAGGGGTACCGGGGAGAGCACTGGGGCGTCATGGTGGGGTCACTGCAGGGGTTCAGGGGAGCACTGTGGTACACAGGGCCGGTGTCCGAGGAAGCACTGCCAGAGGACCGGGAAGAACAGTGGGAGAGGCACCGAGGGCGGGAGGGGGGCGCCAAGGAAGCACGGGCAGGGGAAGCGGTGGGGATCGCTGGAAGGGATCCAGAGGAGCACACAGAGAACATTGGAGGGGGTGGGGAGAGCACCAAGGGGGCAACAGACAGAGGGGGAAAGCCACCTGAGGGATACACTGAGCACGGGTGTCACCAGTACTGTGGGGGCTGCTGGGAATTTGGGCACAGGGAGACTGGGACAGCTCTGGTCAGTGGGTGCTGAGGGGGCACAGGCACGGGGAGACCTGGGGTTTCAGAGGGACGCTGGCACTTCTGGGACGCAGGGCACCAGGGGAATGGCACCTGCTGTGGCCTGGGTGTCCCACGAGACCAGACACCAACAGACTCTGGAGGGGCTGGGAATCTCTGGGCAGTGGGGGGATATGGGGCTGGCTCCAGGGAGGCTGTGTCACCCGCCCTGCTACCCTGGGGGTCTATGAGATGGAGGGCCTGGCACCTACCACACACTCTTGGGGTCCCTGAGCCTACCCATGGCACTGGGGGTCCCCAGCTCCTGCCCTCATAGCTGGGGGTCCTCAGCCTGGGAAGGGGGGACAGCTCTGTGCCCTTGAGTTGTGCCATGGAACTCCATGGCTCCCAGCTTGTGCCAGGTCACAGGTGAATGCTGACAGCCCTGGGGGTCCTGAAGTGCCTTTGCCCAGTGGTGCACCCCAGCACCCCACCATACCTGGGGCTTCTGGCACCTCGTTGTGCTGGGATGCTCCTGGGGCATGCCACTGGCTCTGCTCGAGGCTGGCTACCTGTGCCAGCACCTGGACCTTGATGTGGTTGTGGGGTGGCGGTGAGAGCACTTGAACTCAGAGCTTTTCTGTGCCCTGAGAGCCTGTGGGAGAACTGTGAGTGCACTGTGAGCTGGCCTGCCCTGGCCTGGGGTTGCTGTGTGCTGCTGCCACGTGCTGGTGCCAGGCATGCAGCCTCCGTGGTGGCATGGTTGTCCTTCCCTGTGGACAGTGGCAAATGCAGTTTCCCAGCCACGTGGGCACGGTGTGGCTCTGGGCACTGGCTGCCCACCACAGAGCTGGGCCAGCCAGCAGCACTAGGCACAGCACTGGGAGAGCATGCCATTCCAGCACCTAATGGTGCCATATGGCTGGAGGGCACTGTGGCACCAGTGTGTGGTGCCTGGGTAAGGTGTGTCTGTCACTGATGTCTCTCACTGCTTGGTGAGGAGGCCATGGGTGCCGGCCTGTGGGATTGGACCCCGCAGCATGGCAAAGCCCTCCATGGGGATGCCAGGCTGGGAGGCTGCACTCCAGCAAGAGCTACTGGGAGTCCCTGGGGCTGTGATCTCTCCAGGCACCCCCATTGCCTGTGCGTGGGTGGACAGGGCTGTGGAGCCATTGGCCTCAGCTATTGCTGGGGTCCTAAAAATAGCTACAGAATCAGGAGGAGGAAAGGGAACTGCAGCGGGATCCCGGCAGCATCGGCTTCCTTTAACCCTCCCACTGGTGTGCCATGGACTCACCAGGCTCGATGTGGCACACCAGGACGTCTCACTGTGCCCTCGCCGTGGCACTCTGGGGTGTCTCACCATGGCGCAGCAGGGTGTCACCCTTGTGGCCTCACTGCTGCATATTGGGGCATCACTGGAACTCACAGTGGTGGCACACAGCAGTGGCACCCCAGGGCGTGCTGACATCATTGGCCGGTGAGCAGTGAGCAGTGCTAGTGGGGACAGTCCTGCTGTGGTGTCCCACAGGAGCGTGGGGGCTTGGCGCTTCCATCCTGGCTCCCTGCCAGTTCATGGGGGACACCAGTGCCGGGGTGGTGCCAGCGGGCACACGGAATCCCCCTTGCCAGGGTGCCCACACCCTGCTCTTGGTGAAGTAGGGCGGCAGGTGCCCCTCTGTGCCACGGAGCAGTGGGGACACGGGGTGCCTGCTGTGCTGGCAGGGTTGTGGCAGGGCGCTGTGCGTCAGAGCGGCAGGGGAGTCCCGTAGCTCCCGCATAAAGGCTCTTTGTACCCGAGCCCGGTGCTCTCTGGCCCCCCCTCCCCGTCGCTGCTCACCAAAATAGCAGCCGACAGCGGTGCGGGGCTGGGCAGCCAGGGGGCCCTGCAGTCCCCCTCCGCGGTACCACCCCTGTGCTGGGTGTCCCTCCAGCCCCTGCCAGTCATCCATGGAGAGCCCCTTGACGTCCCCCACAACTGAGCTTCCTCCTAAGGGTCCTGCTCCTTGTCCCTCCCATCTGGAGTTCCACGTACCGGTGCTGTGCTGGGGTTCCTCTTGCACCCACATCACACCTCCGCTAGTGTTCCTGCTATGGAGACCCCAGTTGCGTGTTAGGGCTTCCCACAGAGACCCCTTATGCTACACTCGTTTGGGGGTGTCTCTTCATGCCCCCCCACCTTACCAGCTGGGATTCTCCCACAGACTCCTTTGAGTCAGGGAACCCCTGATCCCTTCACCCACCCTAGCAGGGTTTTCCATACAGCCTCCCATAGTGGATTCTCATTCAGCCCCCCCTGCCACTTGGAGAGTTCTGCATGGCCCCACCCTCACAATGACCCCTGACTGGGCATTGGGGCACCTGGGACACCCCAACGATGCTGGGGTAGGTCGTACCTCCAGAGGAGGTGGGAGAAATGGGGACCTGGCACTGCAGGGACCGTGGTGTCAGCAGGGCACCCTATCCCCTTAGTGGGGGATAGGACATGGAGGGGCACGGCACCCTCTCCGGGGGCACAGCACAGCATAGGGGGGGTGGATGCCTTGTCCCAGTCCTCCAGCCCTCTGTCGAGCTGCCACTGGGGCAGGGGACACAGCAGCTGAGTGGCCCTGGTGTGGTGACAGCAGCCTCCGTGCTCATGGTGACCTCTGTGACCAGAGGCCAGCCAAGGAGTCACGATCCCTGCTGACAGCCCTGGAGTGGGGAGGTCTGGCTGTGCTGAGGCTCCCTGTCTCCTGGAGTCCCTAAAATGGGGAGGGCTTCCAGTCCTGCTCCTTACACTCACTGATGTTTTCACCCCATCTCTTAGCACTGCCCATCACCCCCTGCCCCGGGATCATGTCCTTGGTTCCTGTCAGCTTCCACAGGAAAATAAATTGTTTCCTGGTGTCCTGGCTGCCAGCTCCTGCCTGCTCCTGCCAGCTCCAGCCTGTGCTGTGGGCTGGAGACAGTGCCTCTGGCACAGACAGGCAGTGCAGCAGGGGCAGCAGCACTGCCAAGGACACAGTGGTGTCAGTGGGGGGTCGGAGCAAGCAGGGGAGGCACTCTCGGACTCCCAGCACCCATCCTGCAAGCTTTTTCCCACGGGCTTTCCATGGGTTCCCTGTCAGCTCGTTGCATTCCATGGGGAATAGTGGTATTGGAGCTCCTCACTGTCGGTGCTGGTGAAGTAGGGGTCTGACTGGAAGGGTACTGGGCATCCCTTTGGGGCTGGCAGGTGGAGGGACACCACCCAATCCCCAGCAGCCTGATGCCCTCTCTGCTGCCACAGGTTCCAGAAACACGTCCACACCTACCGCATCCTGCCGGACGAGGAGGATTTCCTGGCCGTGCAGGTGGGCAGCGCGGGCACGGGACACCTCTGGCTCGTGGGCTGTGGGGGGTTTCGTGCTGTGACTGTACCTGTCTGTCTGTCTGTCCTGGGTGGCTGCGCCAGGCTCAGCCCTGGCCCCGTGCCACGTGCCTGCCCGGCTGTGCCGGATGGCTTGGCTGTGCCTGTCTTGGCCGGCTGTGGCACTGGGTATTTTTAGAGCAACAGAACCCTCTTTGTGCTGGCCCGGCAGGCAGGAAAAGCTGCCCCTGGGAGGGAGGAGGCTGAGGGATGGCTGCTGCCTGCACCCTGTTAGCCCACCTACCAGCCCTGTTGCAACGTGGGACTGTGGGGTCAGCCCCCCATCCTGCATGGGGGTCCCTGCATGGAGGGGTTCCTGCACTGTGGCATCTCTGCATGGGAGGGTCCCTCCATGGGAGTCTGTGCATGAGGGGGTCCCCTCATGGGATCATCCCTGCATGGTGGCAGCTCTGCACGAGGGGATCCTTGCATGGTGTTATCCCTGGATGGTGGGTTCCCTGCTTGGTGTTGTCTCCGCCGGGGGGGTCCGGTGATGCTGGCTGCAGGTGCTGATGGTCCCGGTGTCCCAATGTCCCTGCAGACGTCACAGGGGGTGCAGGTGCGGCGCTTCAAGACGCTCAGCGAGCTGATCGCCCTGTACCTGCAGCCCAACCAGGGGCTGGTCTGCACCCTGCTCTTCCCTGTCGAGAGGGAGAAGGAGAAGGAGACCGTGGAGGACAGGGACTACTCAGGTATGGCGGGGTGACGTGGGTGGGTGACCAGGGTGCTGGGACTCCTGGGGTGGCAGTAACTGGCCCCCTCATTGCCCCATTGCAGACGGAGAGGATGAGAAGCCGCCGTTGCCACCACGCTCCGGCTCCACCAGTTTCTCTGGCACCTCAGTGGGGCTCAGCCCCACTGGCCTGGGACCATCTGTGTCGGAGAGGCCAGTGGAGAGGTGAGGGTCTGTCTGTCTCCTGCCTGTCCCTTGTCTGTCCCGTGTCTGTCCCCTGTCTGTCCCCTGCTCCTCCCAGCTGGCTCTCACCCCCCAGGTGCTCTCTCTGCAGCACCAATGGGCTCAGCAGCATCTCTCATGAGTACCTGAAGGGCAGCTACACCCTGGATCTGGAGGCAGTGAAGGGAGGGGCCAACAGCCTCCCCCACCTCAACAAGACTCTCGTCACCTCCTGCAAACGGCTGCACAGGTGAATGCCAGACACTGGGACAGATGAACCGATGGAAGGACGTATGTGCCACCCAGTGAGCTGGCTCCTCTTGCCTCTCCAGTGAGGTGGACAAGGTGCTGGCAGGGCTGGAGATCCTCTCCAAGGTGTTTGACCAGCAGAGCTCCCCCATGGTCTCCAAGATCCTGCAACAGGTAAAGGGAATATGGGAACACAGCAGTGGCAGCCCCCCACCATGGTCTGCACCCACAGACCCAGCCATGGTGCCATCCATAGGTGGTGGGAAAAACTGTGGAGAAGCACCTACCATCCTACCCCACCCAAGATTGCTAGTGGGTTCTGCCACTTGGGGTGGGGGGAGGCTCTGGCGTGGGTCTGGGGTTCACATCCCAGTGCTGGGGTGTCCTGCTGGGGGTTCCAGACAGCAGGGCAGAGTGGAGAGCAGGAGCTGGAGAACCTGGTGCTGAAACTCTCTGTGCTGAAAGATTTCCTGTCCTCCATCGAGAAGAAGGTAAGGCTGAGGATGCAGGGGTGGATGGCTTGATGGGGGTCTTTGGGGGGTCTGGATGAACCAAGAGAGACTGTGGAGCTGAGGGCACTGGTGGGACTGGGGAAACTGGCAGAGATTGCTGGGCTGGGGGACTGGGGATGGGCTGGTGGGATTGAGGCACCAGTGGGACTGGGGAGGGCCAGTGGTGCTGGTGTTGGTCGGGCTCGGGGGGCTGGTGGGGCCTTGTGGACTGTGAGGGCTGGTGGGGCTTGGAAGGCTGGTGGGACTGGATGGGTTGGTGGAGCTGGTGGACCGGTGGTCTCCCTGCTGACCCTGCTGGGGCTCTGGCAGGCACTGAAGGCCCTGCAGGAGATGAGCTCAGCCACCCCTGCCACCCCCCCTCAACCCCTCTCCCGCAAGGCCAAGAGCATCCCAGTGCAGACCTTCGAGGTGAGCCCTCCCACCTGCCGTGCCCAGTTTTGGAGTTTTGAGGGGATTTCAGCATCAGCTGAGTACCTCCAGTGTGACACTGAGGGCACAGACCCCATCTGGTCTCTGGGGGAGGCCAGATGCCAGATGGGGTGCTGGGGTGTCCCCTGTGTCCCCCCTCATCCCAGTGTCCCCTGGCAGGTGAAGCTGGATATCACCCTGGGGGACCTGACCAAGATTGGGAAGTCACAGAAGTACACGCTGAGCGTGGATGTGGAGGGGGGTAAACTAGTGGTGCTGAAGAAGCAGAAGGACTCCCAGGAGGACTGGAACACCTTCACCCATGACAAGAGTGAGTGGGGAAGTGTCTGGGGGGCCCCAGCACCCCTGGGACTGCTCCAGGGAAATCCCTGGGGGATTTCCTCATGCTGGGGGTGTCCCCATCTTGGGGGGTCCCCCAAAGCATGGATTGGGGGAGTTCCAGCACCCAGCACCGTTCCAGCTCTTGCCACTCCTCCTCAGTCCGGCAGCTGATCAAGTCACAGCGGGTGCAGAACAAGCTGGGCATCGTTTTTGAGAAGGAAAAGGATAAAACACAGCGGAAAGACTTTGTTTTTGTCAGTGCTCGGGTGGGTAATGCTCAGCTGGAGGTGGGCAGGGGACAAGGGGTCCCTTGTAGGGAGGGGGTGGGGCAGGATTTAACCCCTGGGCCCTGGCAGGGCTCAGGGACAGGCGCTGGGTACCGGTGCCTGATGGCTGGGTGATGTCCCAGGGGCGGTCCCCATGCCCAAAAGGTGCCAGCTTTGGCTGAGCCAAAGCAGGGGGGCGGGAGAGGGTTGTAGGGATTCCCTCTGCCCTCCCCTCACTGCCCCCTTCTGCAGAAGCGTGAGGCCTTCTGTCAGCTTCTGCAGCTGATGAAGAACAAGCATTCTCACCAGGACGAGCCTGACATGATCTCTGTCTTCATTGGCACCTGGAACATGGGTGAGCAAGGCCAGGGGCAGCCCTCGGTGGGGTGTCGAGGCCCTGGGGTCCCCCTAACTGTGCTGTCCCCCCTGCAGGCAGCGTTCCCCCCCCCAAGAACATCACCTCGTGGATCACCTCCAAGGGGTTGGGCAAGACCCTGGATGAGGTGACGATGGCCATACCGCATGACATCTACGTCTTCGGCACCCAGGAGAACTCTCTGGGAGACAAGGAGTGGGTGGACTTCCTGCGCACCGTTCTCAAGGACTTCACAGAGGTTGAGTACCGCCCGGTAAGGACCAGGGGGTCCAGGGGGCCCTGGGGCTGTGAGGTGCAGGCACTGGTGGGTGGTGGAGGTGTGTGATGCTCAGTGTCCCCGGGGTGGCTGTGCTCTGGCTCTGTGACACCGGCTGTTCTGAGGTGCTCTCGTGGTGCTGGGTGCTCCGGGTCTGCTGACACAAGGTATTTTGGGGTGGTCTCCTGGTGCTGGATAGCTGTGGATACTGATTGATGGTGGTGGGATTCCATGGGGAACAGCCCTTGGTGGGAGAGGCTGAGTAATGAGCATTCCCTGTGGACGCACCAGAGGGGCCCCCGTGGTCCCAGGGGGCCCCAGCGCGTGCTGGCAGGGGGCTGAGGGTGCTGGCACCCACAGGTGGCCATGCAGTCCCTGTGGAACATCAAGGTGGTGGTGCTGGTGAAGCCAGAGCACGAGAACCGCATCAGCCATGTCAGCACCTCCAGCGTCAAGACAGGGATCGCCAACACCCTGGGTAGGGCCACAGCGGGGCACAGAGGGACACGGGGTGTGCACTGCACTGGGGGGAGTCCTGGGGTGCCTGCACTGCGGGGGGGTTCTGTTCTTGCATGTGTTGCATGAGGAGGAGTCTGAGCATGGGTACCTTGCATGATGAGGAGCCCTGGAATGTGGGCATTGCACGGGGAGGGTCCCAGTGGGCGTGTTGCACGTGAGGGGTCTTGTGGATGCACAAGGAGGGGTCCCAGAGCACGGGTGTTCCACGAGGAGGGCTTTGTGTGCAGTGCACAGGGAAGGTCTGGGAGTGTTTGCGTTGCATGCAGAGGTGTGGATAAGTGTGCTTTGCACGAGGGGGGCTGGGGGGGTGTGTTTCATGAGGAGGCCTCTCAGCCTGTGCCAGGCTGGCCAGGGGGGGACTGTGCCCCATCACTGTGACCTGGGGTCAGCTGGGTGTCTGTCCCCGAGGTAGAATCAGGGGTTGCCTGATCCCATCCCGTGTCCCCGTGTCCTCACAGGGAACAAGGGTGCTGTGGGTGTCTCCTTCATGTTCAATGGCACTTCCTTTGGCTTTGTCAACTGCCACCTCACCTCTGGCAATGAGAAGACGGCACGGTGAGCACCCCCAGCCTGGGCCGGGCCAGGACAGGGCTGTCACCCCTGTCCTCATGTCTGTGACACCCTGTCCCTGTGTCCCCTGCTTCAGGAGGAACCAGAACTACCTGGACATCCTGCGTCTGCTCTCGCTGGGGGACAAGCAGCTGAGCTCCTTTGACATCTCTCTTCGCTTCACCCACCTCTTCTGGTTTGGGGACCTCAATTACCGCCTAGACATGGACATCCAGGTCAGAGGAGGGGGTGGGTTGGGGTGGGAAGGCAGGTGGGAGTGTCAGGGTCCCCTCCCAGCCCAGTGCCAGCGCCTTTGTCCCCACAGGAGATCCTCAACTACATCAGCCGCAAGGAGCTGGAGCCGCTGCTGAAGGTGGATCAGCTCAATCTGGAGAAGGAGAAGCACAAGGTGTTCCTGCGCTTCGGTGAGGACTGGGGGGCTCCAGGAGGGTCTGGTGCTGCAGCCCCTGCTGTCGGGACTGTCCTGATCCACTGCTGTCCCTGCAGGTGAGGAGGAGATCACCTTCCCCCCAACCTACCGCTACGAGCGGGGCTCCCGGGACACCTATGTCTGGCACAAGCAGAAGCCCACAGGGGTAGGTGCTGGGGTAGGGGGAGTTGGGGGAGTGGAGGACACCCCAATCTGAATGCCCACCCACTCCCCACTCGTGCCAGGTGCGTACCAACGTGCCGTCCTGGTGTGATCGCATCCTCTGGAAGTCCTACCCCGAGACTCATGTCAACTGCAACGCTTATGGTGGGCAGTATAACCACCCCCAGCACTCTCGTCCCTGTTCTGGGGACAGTCCTCCCCTCCATCCTCACTTCTTCCCCATTCCCACTGGCTGCAGGCTGCACAGATGACATTGTCACCAGTGACCACTCACCCGTCTTTGGCTCCTTCGAAGTGGGAGTGACATCCCAGTTCGTTTCCAAAAAAGGTGCTTATGCCCAAGGGGATACCTTGCTGTCCCCTGCCCCTCCATGGTCCAACCTCTCCCTCTAAATGGAGAGGTCCCAGGGAGATTCCAATGCCTTGCCTCTCCATGGAGGGCTCTCCAAGTCCTCAGAGCAGGCGTACATCGAGTTTGAGAGCATAGAAGCCATTGTGAAGACTTCCAGTCGCACCAAGTTTTTCATCGAGTTCTATTCTACCTGCCTGGAAGGTGAGGACTGGAATGGCAGTGGGGGGTCCCAGAGGGCTTAAGAGGGGTCCCTGGAAGCTCATGGCATCCTGGAAGGCTAAAGGATTGATGCCATATCCTGCTACCACCACAGAGTTCAAGAAGAGCTTCGAGAACGACAGCCAGAGCAGTGACAACATCAACTTCCTCAAGGTGCAGTGGTCATCCCGGCAGCTGCCCACGGTGAGGAGGGGCTGGGGGCTGGCAGGGTGGGTGCAGGGGGAAGCTGCAGACAGGGAGACCCCCGCTCAGTCTCCCCATTCCCTCGGCCACAGCTGAAGCCCATCCTCTCTGAGATTGAGTACCTGCAGGACCAGCACCTCCTGCTCACCGTCAAATCCCTTGATGGTTACGAGTCCTACGGTGAGTGTCCACTCCAGCACCGTGCCAGCACTGGGGGGTCCGTGGGGTGCAGACCCCCAACCTCTCCCGCTGTCACCCCCAGGGGAGTGTGTCATTGCCCTGAAGTCGATGATTGGCAGCACAGCACAGCAGTTCCTCACCTACCTGTCCCACCGCGGTGAGGAGACCGGCAATATCCGTGGCTCCATGAAGGTCTGGGTGCCCACGGAGCGCCTGGGCACCCGCGAGAGGCTCTATGGTGAGGACCCCTCAGCCAAGGGGGGATGGTGGGGAGAGGACTCCACCACTGAGCCCCTGTTCCCTGGCAGAGTGGATCAGCATCGATAAGGATGAGACGACAGCCAGCAAAGGGAAGGTGCTGCTAGGTGCCAGGGCCACGCAGGACAATGCCAAGTATGGAGGACAGGGCTTGGCAGGGTGGGGGGCACCAGTTCCTGGGGGTTGGGAGGCCTGAGGGATTCACCTGTGAGCACAGGTATTGCTTAGGGTATCCCTCTGGGTTGGTGTGTGGGATGTGACTGGGGACGGTCCTGATGCCAGTTTTGTGCCACACAGGACAGGGATGGGGCTCTGAGCCTCCAAATGCAGCTCTGGCTGTGTTTTGGTGGCTGAACCTCATCCTGGAGGGCAGAGCCCCATCCTGGGGATCTGAGCCCTGATCTGGGCTGCTGAGACCCATCCCACGGGGTCTGAACCTTGTGCTGGTTGATGTGAGCCCCGTCCTGGGGGTCTGAACCCCGCTGCAGGTGTTCAAGCCCCATGGGACACCCAGCCCCTCCTGTTGCCAGGTCCGCGGGGCGGAAGCCCAGCAGTGCTGAGCCCCCCAGCAGCATCCTGGCAAAGCTCCCAGAGGAGCCCGAGAAGAGCGGCACCGCGGCAGCGCCGCGTCCGCCCGCCCCGCACCGCAGCACCCCCCGGGATGAGGCCACCCCAGGCCGGTGAGGGAGCTGGGCAGGGCTGGGGGGGGGATTGCTCTGGGAGTGCCACGCTCAACCCTGTCCCCACAGGTCCAAGGCGGAGGCAATGCCGGAGCTCTCAGGGGGTCCCCTGAAGAACAGCTTCAACAACCCAGCGTACTACGTGCTGGAGGGGGTCCCCCACCAGCTGCTGGTGCCAGGGGACCCCGGCAAGCCCCCCAAGGCCAAGGTGCAGCTGGCAGTGCCGGAGCGCTGCCAGTGCCCCTCGGCATGCTGTGGTGGCGAGAGCGATGAGGAGGAGGACCTGGGCACTCTGAACCTGCCGCCGCCGGATTTCCCCCCACCGCCCCTGCCGCGGGAGCTGGAGCTGCCCCCAAACCCCTTCTTGGGCACCCCCAAGGAGCTGCTGGTATCCAGCGGGTGTGAGGACCCCAAATCCCACCCTGCTGCCTTCGGAGAGGCTCCCCTGCCCAAGCTGCAGCCCCGGCCGCCCCCAGCCGCCAGGGCTGGGTTTGGGATGGAGGGGGCTGGGGGGATGCCTGCAGTTGGGGGACTGCCCACTCCCGGGGGCCTGCCGGCTGGGCTGATGGATGACCGCTCCTGCTCGGTGCTGCAGATGGCCAAGACACTGAGTGAGGTGGACTACGGGGGTGGGAAGGAGAGGGTGGTCCCCCCGCCGCCGCTGCTGGCCAAGGGGGCGTTGCCTCCCCGCTGCCTGCACCCTGACTACGGCCGCCCCCTCGCCTTCCCTCCCCACTCCATCCAGGAGAGCATCCAGGAGGACCTGGCTGAGGAGGTGGGTGAAGCAGGGTGGGTGGGGGTGCTCAGCGCCTCAGCCGGGGCTCCCTTGGGGGTGCCCGGTGGTGCTGAGGCTGTTGGGGTGCAGGCGCTGGGCCGCGGCGGGGGCACCGTGCCCGCTGTGGGCGAGTGGCTGCGGGCGCTGGGGCTGGAGCGGTACGAGGAGGGGCTGGTGCGCAACGGCTGGGACGACCTGGAGTTCCTCAGGTGAGCAGCCCCCCACAAGGGTGGGCAGGGACCCCCACCCGCTCCCACCGCCGGCCTGGCCAGCCCCAGTGGGTCCATGTCTTTCCCACAGTGATGCCTGGGTTCTGGGGAGGTGTGTTGGGGTGCTGCCCTTGATGGTCCCCACTATCCCTGGGGGTTCCCCATGGCCTGCTGTGGGTTTCCACTTCCCTGGGAGTCCCCACTGCCCCTGAAGGGCCCCATGCGCCCAGAGGTTCTGTGCTGCCCTCAAGGAGCCATTGTCCCTGCTGCCCCTGAGTGTCCCCACTGCTCCCACGTGCCCTTGGCCTCTCGGGATCCCCACTGCCCCCTGAGGGTCACAAAACCCCACAGCAGGGACAGAATGGAGCCTGGGTGTGCGCCCAGCAACCCGAGTGGGGGCTCTGGCACGCCCATGTGGGGACCCCACCCGAGTCTGGGGTGCCCCTCAGGGTCAGAGAGCCCCATATTTGTGCCTCATTCCCAGTGACATCACAGAGGAGGACCTGGAGGAGGCTGGAGTGCTGGAGCCTGGCCACAAGCGCATCCTTCTGGAGAGCCTCCAGCTCCGCAAGTAGCTGCCACGGCACAGCCAGCATCCCATGCTTCCCATGGCCCAGCATCCCAGATCCTGCAGCCCTGCGTCTCAGACCTTGCAGTAGTGTGTCCTGTGGCCCTGCATCCCACAGATGTGCATCCTGGATCCCGTGGCTGTGCATTCTGTATCCTGCTGCCACATATCCTGGACCCTGTGGCCCTGAATCCTGCAGCTGAGCATCCCAGATCCTGCGGCCATGCATCCCAGATCCCTCAGATCCTGTGGCCGTGTGTCCACAGCCCAGCATCCTGTGACCACAAACCCTGGGTCCCATGGATGTGTGTCCCAGATCCTGCAGCTGTGCATCCTGCAGCTGAGGGTCCTTCATCCCACAGTCCCACATCCTGCATCCATTCATCCCACCATCACCAGCAGCAAGTGGGAGCCCCGTGACCTCCACAGCCCACCCCCACCCTGGATGCAGGGTAATGGGAAGGGGGAGTGGGGGACAGGGGGTGGTGGGTCCTGGTCAGATAATTTCACATGAGGATCCCTACGGGGTTCCCTCACATTTTAAGTTATTTTTTATTTATTGGGAGAGGGGATGGGGGAAGAGGTGTTTGGGCGTAACCTTTGGGATCCTGGCTCCCCCATGACCCTCACAGCTAGGAGGAGGAGGCTCTGAGCAGTCATGTCTCCACCCAAGTGCCTTCATGATGCCTGGGATGGGATGGGATGGGATGGGATGGGATGGGATGGGATGGGATGGGATGGGATGGCTCAGCCAGCCCCCATAGACCACACTAGGCCCAGCTCAGGGTCCTTCTCCCCAACTCTAAGGATTCTGTCCCCACCCTGAAGGTCCCATCCCCACTGTGAGGGTTCCTGTCCCCAAGATGGATGTCCCACTCCCACCCTGGAAAATCCCCATCCCTGGGGGTCCCATCCCTTTGCTGTAGGTCCCTGTCCCAGCTCCAGAGGATCCTGTTCCCACCCTGAACCTCATATCTGCACACCTGGGGTTCTACCCCCACTTTCATGATTCCCATCCCTGCTCTGGATGTGCTGTCCCCACCCTTGGGTGTTCCAGTCCCCACCCCTGGGGATCCCAGTCCCCATCTCCGGGGGTTCTATCTCTTCCCCAGGTATCCCTGTCCCCACCCCAGGAGTCCCTGTCACCATTCCTGGGGGTCCCATCCCCATTACGGTGGTTCCTGTCCCCACCTTGGGGGTGCTGTCCCCATTCCCAGGGGTCCCTCCCCCACCCTGAGGGTCCATCCCACCCTGAGGTTCCATTCCCAGGGGTCCTGTTGTTCCCGTACTGGGGATTCCGTCCCTACCCCCGGAGTCCTGTCCCCACCCCGGGGGTCCCATTCCCACGTGGCAGGGCCCCCATCCCCACTCTGGGAGTGCCTGTCCCTGTGCTGGGAGTCCCATCCCCAGCCTGGGAATCCTGTCACAGCAGAGCCAGCTCAGTGCCTTCCCCCAGAGCCCACCCCACACCACCAGTGCCTCCGGGGCAGCTCCCCCACTCCAGCCCGTTTGCCCGTTAGGGGCTCGCTGGGTCTGTCCCCCACGGGGGTTTGTGTGCCCTTGGGGACAGCGGGGCTGGCAGCAGGGTCTCCCTGTGGGTGCTCAGCCCCCAGCCTTGCCAAGTGTCCTTCCAGGAGGGTCCCCAGGCTGGGAGTCCCCAGGACAGGGGTCCTCCCACTGTGCTTTCCCCACTGGGATGCTCCCTCCAGGCTCTCCCTGTCCTCGGGGGGGATGGGGGTGATGCTGCCCCCAGACCCCCAACCCCTCACTCCGGCTGAGATGAAGGAAGGGCCAGGTGCCCCTGGCATACCCCAGCATCCCCCCTCTGTTACTGGGGTGTTTGGTGGGAACTTCCCCCCGCTGAACCCCCAGCTCCTGTGTTTGGTAAATCTGGAGTGATTTTTATCATGTTCATGCAATGGGTGTGGTGAAGCTCTCAGCAGGGCGAGGTGGGGAAGGGTCTGGGGAGGGGGGCAAGATGGGGAACCCAGGGGGAAGAACTGGATCCCATCTGTGACCCCTCCAAGCTGTCTGTACTGGTCCCAGCAAGGTGGGGACCAGGTCCCTTGTCACCTTCCTGCTCATCTTGAGTACCTCAGACCACTCCCCAAACAGCCTGGCATGCTCCTTTCACCATCCCAATGCCCACAAGACCTTCTTCATCATCACCTCCCCTCCAAAGGGCCCCTAGAGGCCAGGGGGGCTATGTGGGGCACCCCTCTCCTCACCCCACTTGAGGGGGCTTCCCAGGGGGTGCCCCTTCAGCTCCCTACAGCTGCTTGGGGTCTTCAAGTGGGGGGCACCCAAAATACTCCCTGAGGTGCTGGGGGTCTGTGGCATCACTTGGGGGGTTCTGGTGGGTTTCAGAGGGTCCAGGGGTGGGGACTGTGCAGTCCCCCCACCCCTGCAACCCCTGTTGAGGGTGGGGTGCAACAAGGGCTGAGGGCCAGCAGCAGTGTCAATAAATTAAGTTTAATTTGGATTAGTGGCATTTGCAAACATGGGTAATAAATTACAGAATGGTTAAAAAAACAAAAAACGAAAGAAAAGTGGGGACCCCACCTCGGGGGAGCTGGGAGGGATACAGGGGGAATGGGGATCGATGGATGGGCTGCCAGCATCCTCACCATGCCAGGAAACCCAGCAGCAGAGCAGCAGGGGTGTAGTGGGTGGCTGGGCACGAGGGCCCCCCCAGCACCCCACTTTGGGAGCCTGTGGGGGTCACGGGGTTCTGTGGGGATCTGCAGGGTCAGTGGGAGCACCCAGCCTGCTGCTGGCAGGGGCCATGGCTGCTCCCAGACATCCCTCTGGCTGTGCCAGGGGCTGCATCCCACAGCACCCTCTCGAGGGGCCCCCTCACCCCCGGCAGCTCTTGCCCTGTCCCCACTGGCAATGCCTGTAGCGATGCAGGTGAGAGCTGAACCCCAGCCCTGGAGAGCTGAACCCCAGCCCTGCACTGCTGAACCCCAGCCCTGGAGAGCTGAACCCTAGCCCTGGGATTGCTGAACCCCAGCCCTGGAGAGCTGAACCCCAGCCCTGGGATTGCTGAACCCCAGCCTTGGAGAGCTGAACCCCAGCCCTGGGATTGCTGAACCCCAGCCCTGCTCAGTGCTGAACCCCAGCCCTGCACTGCTGAACCCCCACAGTCTCCGGGGGCGGGGTGTGTGTTCCTGTGCCAGGGTGCTGCCGGGGGGAGTCCATGGCAGCAGGCAGGATCTGGGTGACATCAACTCCTCCCCACGCCAAGGGGCGTCTCCATACGGAGTCCCCGGCACTGCCCAGCCCGTGGACCCCAGGGGCCCCCCATAAAGTGCTTCCTCGCCCCCAGCCCAGCGGCACAACCATTGAGGGGGCGTCTCCTGGGGCGGGAGCACCCACAGTGCTGTGGGGAGCCCCCCATCTGCCCCACCCCTGGAGTGCACCGGGAGCCCCCAGAGCCAAAGGCGCTGCCGGGGGCGCGCTGGCTGAGCACGGGGGGTGTCCCCCGCCTCGCAGCCCCACGGTGCCGCAGCACCCACGGGTGTGGGTGGGAGCTGCCCCCGCTCCGGGTCCGCCCCATCAGCGCCGGGTCCGGGGGGCGGCGGGGGCCGGTCCCTGCTCCCCCTGCCCGTTCGCTGAAGCACCGTGGCTGGGTCCGTGGCGGGGGCGGCGGGTGGAGGGTGCAGGGTGGGGGCCGAGGGGGGTCTGGGGGGGCAGCCGGATCCGGTGGCTCAGCGATCAGAAGAGGTTTGTCTTGATGCCGTTTGGTTTCCGATGGAAGGAGGAGAGGACGCCGGAGAAGGGTCCCGGCACAGCCTCGGTGGGCTGCCAGGCCTTCAGCAGCTCGGCCGTGTTGGGGGCACCGCTGCCACCGCCCACCCCTGCCCAGAGGGGTGCCTTGAGGGGCTGGGGGGCATGGCCGGGTCCCAGGGGTGCCCCCGCGCCGGGGCTGGGGCTCAGGCTGCCGCCGGGGCTGCCGATGGCAGCGGCTGGCAGGGACGCCGTGCTGTCTGGAGTCGGGCTGCAGTTGGATTCCTTGGATTCGTCGTCTTCCGAGGAGGAGCGTGGCTCCGACTTCTTCCCGGTGCTGCCGGTGCCGCTGGCACCTTTGGCATTGGCCGCGCGCTCCTGCTTGCGGAATTTGGCTCGACGGTTCTGGAACCACACCTGGAGGGGGATGGAGGGGGTGGGAGCACCCCTGGCCACGGTCCCTAGGGCTTCGGGGAGCCTGTGGGTGTAGGCAGCCCTCCCAGGCTCCGGGTGGGCTTCACAACCCTCCATTCCCTGGGGGGAAATGTCTTCCACATCACCAGAGGGATCCGTGTATCCACAAAAATGTAGATTTGTGAGGCTGACGCCGGGCGCTGGCGTGTGCTCCGGTGTTGGCAGGGGAGGGAAATGGGATGGGGACATGGTCACACCGCACCCACACCGGCACCTGGTGCGGCCAGAGCCCACCCCCAGCTCCCTATGCTGCCAGCACTGGGGTCCACACCTCACTCACCATCCCCCCGGAGGGAGGGGGACAGGATCCCCAGTCCTATGTGTCCCTACATTCCTATGGGGACAAATGTTCTCACAAAGGGGGTGTCTGCACTCACCGAGGGGCTCTGAAGCCACAAAAGGGGGTATTCAGTGACATGGGGGGAGTCCCACACAGAAGGACCCCACAAAGACGGCTCTGCACTGACACAGACTCACAGAGGAGGGGTCTGTGTCTGGGTCTGTCCTGACTCCCCCACGAGAAATCTGCACTGACACAGGGGACCCACAAGGGACCTGCACCCACAAAGGGCCACCCTCTGTCCTTCTTGGACTCTCACCAACCCCAAGGTGTTCGGGGCTGGACTAAATCATTAGTGACAGGGATGGTGCTGTGGCACGAACCAACGCCCGCACTCTGCTGGGAGTCAGGCTGTCCCCCCAGCTCCCAGCAGAGCAAGGCTGTGACAACAGTGTGACCCCGACTGCGCTAGTGCCAAGGCCAAGTCCCTTCCTGCCAACGCGGGGAGCAGAGCAGCAGCGTCCCACGGCCAGGGTCCCTGCTCCAGTGGGATTAGAGCCCTCCAGCCCCATCCCCAGCCCCTCCTCCCTCCCCGGAGCTGACCTGCACCCGTGCCTCGGTGAGGTCGATCTTGAGGGCCAGCTCCTCTCGGGTGTAGATGTCGGGGTAGTGAGTCTCGGCAAAGACCCGCTCCAGCTCCTTCAGCTGCGAGCTGGTGAATGTCGTCCGGATCCGCCGCTGCTTCCGCTTCTCGTTGATGCCCGACGGGTCCGAGAAGAATTTGTAGGGAACTGGGAGGGAAACGGGGAGTCAATAGAGCCGGTACAGTGGGGGGACTGTGGTGGACACTGGGGGATACCTGGGCAGGGAGCATCAGGCAGGGATGGACTGGGAGGGGATGGACCGAGAAGGGATGCACCAGGCGGGAGACACTGGGCAGGGATGGATCGGGCACGGATGGACTGGGCAGGGGACACTGGCCAGGGATAGATGAATAGGGAAGGATGAACTGGGTACGGATGAACCAGGAAGGGAAGGAAAGGGCAGGGAAGGATTGAGCACGGGTGACATAGGAAGAAATAGACGGGGAATACATAAACGGGCAGGGGAATGCACTGGGCAGAGGAATCAGCAAAGGATAGATGAACCGGGAAGGACAAACTGGGCTGGGGTGAACCGAGAAGGGGTAGACCGGGGCAGGATGAATCAGGGCATGGAGCGGGCAGGACGGACCGGGCAGGATGAACCAGCAGGACTCGGCGGCCAGGGCGGGAGGGTCGAGGGCAGGGCTGGATCGCCGCCGCCGCTGCGCCCCCGGCCCCGTTCGTTCGTTCGTTCGGCGGGACCGGGGCCTGGGGCAGGGGCAGGGCTGGCGGGGCACTGCGGTGCCGCTGCGGTACCGACCCGCAGCTCCTTCGTTGTCGGCACAACCACACGCAGCGCCTCCGCGGTGGCAACGAATGCGGAGCGGGGAGCGGGTTTCCAGCGGCGGGGACCTTCCCCAGCCCCGCTCCGGGGCCGCCACAGCTCCAGGGATCCCCGGGGATCCGCGGCCGTGCTTGGGAGGGTTCATCCCCACCGGCGGAGGCGGGCGGGGGGAGCCGGGACGGGGGGCGGTGGGGAGCGAGCCAGGCAGGGCCAGCCTGGGCTTCGAGCACCGGCAGCACCGGGAACCGGTGGGACCCAGCACCGATAGTGCCAGGACTCCACAGCACCGGGAATCGATGTCATGGGGAACGACGGCACCGAGGACCGACAGCAGCCGTTACCGACGGCACCGAGCGTGAAATGCCGAGCACGAAATGCCGAGCACCGGCGGCAGCGGGAACGGGCGGCACCGGGCACTAGTGGCAGCGTGCACTGGCGGTACCGAGAACCGACAGCACCGGGAACGGGCAGGAACGGGCACTGGCGGCACCGGGAACAGACAGTTCCCGGAACCGGCGGCATCGAGCACTAACGGTGTTGGGCACTGGGGTCACTGGGAACCGGTGGTATCGGTCGCCAACGGTACCTGGAACCGATGGTTACCAATCCTGACAGTGCCGGGCACCAGCGGCACCGGGAACGGGCAATAACGGGCACTGTCGGCCCCGGGAACCGATGCTATCGGCGCCGACAGCACCGAGCACTGACGGTACTGCACAACAACGGTACTGGGAACTGGTGGGATCGGGCACCGGCGCTACCGGGAGCCGGCAGCAACGGGCACGGTCGGCATCGAGTTCTGACAGTACGGGGCAGCGGCGGCTCCGGGAGCCCACAGTACCGGGCAGCGACGGCATCGAACGCTGACGGTACAGGAGACCGACGGCTCCGGCAGCCGATGGCAGCGAGCCCTGACATCCCCGGCAGCCGCCGGTCCCGAGCCCCGCTGGCCCCGGTCCCCCGCCCGTTCCGATCCCGGCCAGCCCCGACGGCGCGGCCGCTCCCTCACGCCCGTCCCGGGCTGCCCCGGCGGGCAGGGGTCCCTCTCCCTTACCTGCCGAGTAGGGCGAGGGTTGGTGGTCGCGGAGGGCGCCCAGGGCGCAGCTGGCGGAGGCGAGGGGGGCGCAGGCGGGCGCAGGCCCGAAGCCCCCCCGCATGGGGCTGTACTGGAAGGAGCCCGCCTGGCTGCAGGGGCTGAACTCGTAGCTCGCCTCCATGGCGGCCACGCAGGACTCGTAGGAGTTGAGGTAGGAGTAGTCCATGGCGAGCCCGGTGCGGCCCCGGCTGCCGCCCGCCCGTCCCCGGACGCGGCAGCCGCCACTTCGGGGCTGGGGCTGGGGGGACAGCGGCCCCTGGGCACCCCCGGGCAGCACTCGGCCTGCTCTGGGGCCAGCGCTTGGACATTCCCCCCGTGTCCCCATCCTTCTGTATTATCCCTGTCCCCATCGCCATCCCATCGCCATCGCCATCGCCATCGCCATCGCCATCCCATCGCCATCGCCATCCCATCCCATCCCATCCCATCCCATCCCATCCCATCCCATCCCATCCCATCCCATCCCATCCCATCCCTATCGCATTCCTATCGCATCCCTCGGTCCTGTCCCTCTCCCCATCCCTATCCCATCCTGTGTGCCTCTCCATCCTGATCCCCATCTCCCTCCCTGTCGCAATGCCATGCCATGCCGTGCCATGCCATGCCTCTGGGGCTGAGCATCCCGGGTGCAGGAGGGCGAACACGCCACCGCACCCTCTCCCTGGGTGCCTCCGCCGCCCCTGGGTGCCCGGGGAAGCAGGCGGCCCTGGAGGGGTACCCAGGCCCACCCCTCTCTCCTCGGGGGGCTCTGGCCTTTGCAATCCCCCTCCCCAGTTTTCAGCCCGGATGAATTTCAAAGCACCCCATCCCCCCACCGCCCTGCAGGGACCAAGGCAAAGGCTTTCGCCCCTTTCAGCGGCACCAGAGGGGCATGTGGGGAGGGGGGATGCGGGAGGATTTGGCGGGATTTGGGACATTTTCAAGACAAACACTTTCACTAAAGAGGATTTAAAAGTCTAATTGTGCCCAATGAAGGGCTTTGGGTCCCCCAGGGGACCGGGGGGTGGGGGAGGAACGGACTCTGGCTGGGTCCTGTGGGATCGGTTCGAATCATCCTGTCCCACCTTCTCCCCTATATTCTTGTCCCATCTCCTGTCCTAAACTGTGTCGTTGCCCATTTCCTGCCGGGCGTGCTGCCCCGTGTTTTGCCCCGTACCTGGTCTTGTGTCCCGCCCCACGTTTTTGCCCCATCTCTTGTCCCATGCCCTGCCCCGTGCCCGTCCTGCGTTCTGCCCCACATCTCAGGCACAAAGGGTCTCGCTCCCTGCTGGGCTCGGTTCCCCGGGAACAGCCCCCGCTTCCCCCGGCTGAGCCCCGGCCCCGGTGGGTGCCGGCGCTGCCCCCCCGCGCCCAGCCCAGCTGCGCGGCCGGAGCGGGCAGGTTGCTAAACAAGTTAATTCGATCAGGGCGTGGGGCTGGCGCGGAGCGAGGCCCCACTGTCGGGCTGCTGGAGCTGTGAAAAGTTAATTCAATTAAGTTTTCCCTCTAAACTAATTAGGCAGCAATCTGCCACGCAAGGAGCTGCTGGTGCTACCCAGAGAATGGCAGAGCCGGGAGGGCGAGGAGGAGGAGGGAGAGGCAGGGGGAGAGCAGAGGGGTGGAACACGGAGGGCAGCGGGATGCGGAGCAGCTGGGGGCAGAGCCGGGGAGCTGACCCGTGTCCCCGCCGCTCCCGTGGGACGTGGGTGATCCCTGCGGGCTGTGGCGGATGAAGGGAGATGGGTGCTGGCAGTGGCCCAGCTGTCCCGGCGCTGCCCGATGGGGGTGGGTAAAGCTTGGCTCCCCCTGCTCCCGAAAGGGAAAGCACTGGCAGCGGGCAGGGCTGAGCACCGTGGTGGAGATGGGGACAGGGACCCCATCACTCCATCCCACTGTGTGCTGGGAGCTGCCTGCAGACTTGGAGATGTGTCCATGTGCCTGGTGGATCCGGGTCCCTCCAGAGCTGGGCGGGGGGGCTGTGATGGGACCCTCTCCAAGGGGATCCCTTATGACAGAACAGCTCCAAAGGAACTGTCCTGATGGGACCCCTGTCTGATGGGAGACTCCTTCCAATGGGACTCCTTGAATGGGACCCCTGTGATGGGTGGACCCCCTCTGATGGGACCCCTCTACAAGACCCCCTCTGATCACACCCCAGACTCGCCCAGCTTGGTTGGGATGACAGCACCCACCTCATCACTGCCGTATCTCCCACACTCTCCAGCCTTCACCGCCCCACGGAGTCCCCCAGGTTATGTGTCCTGGTGGGTCCCCCAGCCCCATGGCTGCTCCCAGCGGTGCAGGAGGCCTCTGTTCCCTGCCACATTGTTCCTGGGGACAAAGCCGGGGTGCTCCAGTGTGTCCTGAGCCCCCACGCTGGTGGCACCCTGTGCCCTCATTGGACTGGGTGCCAGCATGAGGTTCAGATGCAGGGAACTCAATGTGTCTGGCACAACCAAAAGAGGATTCTTCTTCCAGATCCCCTTCCAGATCCCATGCTCCCAGGCTCTTCCTGGCAGTGGAAGCCCATTTACCTCTACTGGCACCACGAAAACCACCTCAAAGGGCTGTGGAGGGCCCACATGGCCCTGGCTCCTGCCTGTGGGGCTGCGATCCGTGGGGTTGGCACAGCTTGGCATGGTGGGATGTGGCACGGCAGAGGGTGGCACAGTGTGTAATGGGACAGCGTGGTACAGGGTGGTGTGGCTCGGCATGACACGATGTGACCTGGCCTGGCATGACACGGCACAATATGGCACAGCAGTGAGATGGCACAGCACAGTGAGATGGCACAGCAGTGTGATGGCACAGCAGTGTGATGGCACAGCAGAGTGAGATGGCACAACACGGTGAGATGGCACAGCAGTGAGATGGCACAGCAGTGTGATGGCACAGCACAGTGAGATGGCACAGCAGTGAGATGGCACAGCACGGTGTGGTGGCACAGCACGGTGAGATGGCACAGCAGTGAGATGGCACAGCAGAGTGAGATGGCACAGCACGGTGAGATGGCACAGCAGTGAGATAGCACAGCACGGTGAGATGGCACAGCACGGTGTGGTGGCACAGCACGGTGAGATGGCACAGCAGTGAGATGGCACAGCACGGTGACACGCCGTGGCCCAGCATGGCAGGGCAGGCACGCCTGCACTCTGGGACACCGGAGGAGCACACGGCTGAGCACAGCCGGGGTTACACCTTCGTGCTTCCCTGCACACACATGCAGACCTCGCTGCACACCTGCGTGCACCTGTGGAACTCAGTCTGACCTTAGGAGGCTCCAGCAGAGCCTGGTGACTTCCCAAACCCTCCAGGGATAGAATCCTGCTCCAACCTCTGGCATAAAGCCAGGAAAAAGGCTACTGGGATAGGAAGAGGGTTCACGGAATCCCCCACCAACCCTCATTGAATCCCTGGAAGACAGGAACCAGCAGCAGAACCAAACCCTCCTGGGGACATCAGGGTAGGGGGTAACAGGGGGATGGGGATCCTATCTGCATCCCAAGGGACAGTGACCTGGGGTTCATTAATCCTGGGAAGGTTGGATTTCCATATGTATTTCATGTTCTACTCTTGGAAACCCTGTCTGGGGTGGCCCCAGTGGTGACCGTGTCTCCTATTTCACCACGAGCAGCTCCCTGAAGGAGCCCCCACGGGACATGGGAGAAACTTGGACAGCTCAGCTCCACTTGAGATATTAAATATTTCCTGGAAGAAGGTCATGAGAAAAAGATTCAGCAAGGGGTTTGCACCAGGATGTCGCCTGGCTGGGCTGGGGAGATGTGACAGCGGGTCCCAGCTCCCAGTGGTATTCCCCACTCTTGGTGACATTCCTGGCTCCTGGTGATGAGCAGCAGACCCAGGAGGGCCCTGGGATGAGGGTGGTGATCTCAACAGCTGCTCCTTCTGGGGACACAAAGGGTTGGGTGCGCATGGCATGTTTATTGCCACAAAGAAATGGGGACAATACAGAGCATGTGCCTGGTGGCTTTTATACTCTCAGTTCCCACTCCTCACCTTGCCAGCCCAGCTGACCCAGCAAGCCCCTTCCCATGGGAATGACAAATTCATCCCGGCTCCCGCATGGTCCACAATTTGCTTCCCCCTTCCTTAAAAAACTCCCATCACCCTGCGAAACCCCAGGACCATCCACTGCCCCAGCCCTGAATGGCACCAGGGCACCTTGTCACACACACAGCTGCACCCCTGGACCCCTCCAGGCCCATCCCAGGGCAGCTCCTGCCCATGCCCGTGCCTGTGTCCGTGCCCGTGCCCAGCGGTGGCAGGGCTGTGCCTCTGCCCTCTCTGACACCGCTCGCTCCAGCTCTTGGGGGGGTTTTATTGTCACTGTGAGCGCCCAGTGCTGCCTACAAGAAGTAGGTGATGTTTTTGGGGTTCAGTGGTGCCTGGATCTCCAGTTTTCGGGCCTTGCGGTCCTTCTCTACGATCTCCAGCCGCAGGGTTGGCACCTTGGATTTTTCTGTGCTGGAGGAAGAGCCCTCTGTGGTTTTCAGCAGCTGCTTGTTGGAGTCCTCCACGATGATCCTGAGGGTGCAGCCCTGTGGCAGCAGGTCCTGCTCGTAGGCAGCTGCCAGCTGGTTCACCACGCGCCGCTCCACCTGAGGCACAGACCACATTCTGTCAGGAAAACCCTGTGGAAAGTCTCCCATGGAGATGGCTAGCTCCTTCCCACCCTCTGCTAGTGCAAAATCATGCAACCTTTTCTTCATCCCACTTATTCCCTGTCTCTGGAGTGTGGGTGTGCCACTTCCTCCACAAGACCACAGACATCTCCCCAGAGATGAGGACAGTCGGACTCACACAGTCATGAAATCATGGAAGGGTTTGGGTTGAAAAGGACTTTTTAAAGTTTGTTAACATTTCACACCCCCCTGCCATGGGCAGGAACACCTTCCTCTAGACCAGGTTGCTCCAAGCCACGTCCAACCTGCCACTGAACACTTCAGGGATGAGGCTGCCCCAGAATCTCTGGGCAATCTGTATCAGAGCCTCACCACCCTCACAGGAAAGAATTTCTTTCCAATATTCCAGCTAACCCTGCCCTCTTGCAGTTTGAAGCAGTTTTCCCTTAATTTATTACTCCTTTGTCCAAAGTCTGTCTCCAGCTGTCTTGGAGCCCTTTCAGGCACTGGAAGGGTCTCCCCAGAGCCTTCTCTTGTTCAGGATGAACACCCCCAGCTCTCCCAGCCTGTCTCCAGAGCA